GCTACCTGCTGTCCTCTGCCCATCTGGACCCTCCCAGAGGCTTGCCCTCTGTGCTGCCTCATCAGATACCTTTCCTGTTTCAGGGTGAGTGCAAAGGCTGGCCTTCCCTTGGCACATTTATCTTCAACCCCCAGTGAACAAGCAGTGCACACAGTAGACTAACTCATTTATTTCTACTCATTTATTGATGGCCTTTCATAACCGAGTTATTAAGTCATCAATAACTTCAGAGAAATAAATGAATGGATCCAGAACTAGGCCAACAGATATTTAAGATACCCACTGAAAATTTTATCTAGGATGGGCAGAAAAGTCAATGCTGGGTCATCAGTGGCATTTCCCTCACCTGGGAAAACATGGTCTATGTTATATTCTAATTAGAACCCAGTCTATTTCTTTACAAACTAATAAAATAAATAACATCTCTAATCTCCCAAGTAAAATAAAGAAGTTTGAACAAAGATTACATTTGTTAACATTTTCCAAAGTGCTTCCTAATATGTGTTGCTCTTATCAACTGTCAAAAAAATATCTCTGAAAGTTTTACCAGGAGTAGAGTATAAGATCTTTCACTAGTGCCTATGAGTTCGAGTATATTCCCCTCAAGAAATAAAATAAAAAGAATAGGGAAAGAGGAAAGAAAGGCAGAGAAGCTTTCTAAGACCTTGGAAAACCCTTGAAACCAGTATCAAGGAGTCTAGAAAAATTCCTAACACTGACATTAAGTTTCTATAGGGACACTTTCAAACCCATCAGCACTTTACCCAGATGATGGGATCCATGCATTTTCATTATGTTTTGGGGTGTAGGTAGCATCTGTGTCTTAACTTACATGATCACCCCAGAATCCTGACTTCATCTCCCTATTCAAATATTCCTTTGCCCTAGTTTACTCCCCACTTATAACTTGGGGGGTTACCTGGGTAGTTCAGTCAGTTAAGTGTCCAACTTTGGCTCAGGTCATGATCTCACAGTTTATGGGTTCGAGCCCCACATCGAGCTCTGCTGACAGCTCAGAGCCTAGAGCCTGTTTCAGATTCTGTGTCTCCCTCTCTCTCTGACCCTCCCCTGCTCATGCTGTTTCTCTCTCTCTCTCTCTTTCAGAAATACATAAAAAAAAAAAAAAAAACTTGGGGCCCCACCTAGATGAGAGAAATGTTGGTTGCTGAGAGGTCTCAAGTGTGCTTGGAAACCTCTCTGTGCCCAAGTTGCCTCAGTTTCCTCATCTGTAGAATAGGAATGATAATAGAACATACTTTATATATTGCTATAATAATTAAAAGAGTTAATATATGAAAAGCACTTAGAATACTGTCCAACACATGGTAAGTGTTCAAGAAGTGTCAGCTGTAATTATTGTTGTTGTCATTAATATTATATATAAATATTATTAATATTAATTAATTAATATTATATATTAATATTAATATATTTTATATATATAGTGTTTTCCATATGATTAGGACCTTGGAGACCAGCCAGTCCAATTTCTTCAATTAGTTTTGCAGTCAAGGAAAGCACAGCCCAATAACTTATATAATGTTTGTACTTCCTAACGTTTAAAGACTAGGTAAGATACTGGCAAAAAGAACATCTTTGGAGTCCGGCAGTCCTACATTCAGATTCCAGCTCTGTTGCTTGTGCTTACTAACCTTGTGACTTTGTACTCATCTCTTCCCTCCTCTGGGCTTCTCTAGGTCCTCACCTATACAATAGGTGTAACACGACTACCCTGATAGTGTTTTAAAAACTGAAAAATAATGACTGAAAAAGTTAATGACTGAATAATAGGACTAGCATGCTGCCAAGGAATTAATGAGCATTCAAAGTCGTTATCGCAAATGTCATTCACCAGGGCTGCTGCAGAGAGGGTGCTAGAGCCCAGGGCTTCCAACTGCCAGCTGAGCTCACCACCATGCAGCCTACCTTTACTTAAAAATAAACAATCCAACCAAAACCATGAATTTGCTTACACTACATTCTATCAGTTTTTGTCAATGACTATCTTGTCATCAGTAGATGTTATAGCTATCAAAAAGCTGTGCCTGCTGATGGATAAGATTTTGTAAGTCCTCTACTGTTCTTAAAGAAAAGAAAAAGAAAATGGGGGCAGGGAGAGAACTCTCCACTGTTGGCCCAAAGTTTTTCTAACTAGTTTGGTTTAGGATGAGTAGTTTTACTCTGCCAGCTAAACTCCAAAAGCTGTGCCTGTTGGAGAGATGGTGACTCAGAAACAGATTGCAGATGCTACAAAATAATAAAACACTATGTGCAGCCATAATTCTGCAAATCTGACACCTTTGTTGGGATAGAGAAAGGCTCAGGGAAGGACAGAAATTGAATTGACACCGGTTTCCTTTTGAGGGGAATATGATGAACAAAGTCTAACTCTAGATAACAAGGCATGGCACTCAGGTTTATCAGAAAACAAATTTTTAAAACTTAATGTCCCTGAAAAGATCATAGATGTCTCATGGTGGGCCTGGAAACGAGGAATGGGTTCCACGGTTCAAAGTTTGAGAAACACTTCCCTCTTGAAGATTTTACAATACTCATTTATAAATGAAAGCCTCTGAGAAGTCCCGTATATAAGAGACCTTTCCAACATTATCAGACCCGTCTTTTCCTAAACAATGAGCACAAAATTTCCAGTAGCACCATGTAGGACAGTGGCATTCTAGGAAACACCGTTCAAGAATTTATACAAGGTTTGCTGCCAGTTTGAGTTTTAGTTTTGTTGTGAGTCTCTGCTTCAACCATTTTAGACAAAGGATACAGACTAGACATGGACCACATTTTGCTTTCTTGTATTCCCATTTTATTTGTGGGGGTGGAACTATAACATCTGCTGCTACACATGTTTCAGAGAGCAGAACACAGCTCTTTATCATTCACCATCAATGGAACTGCCTGGGAATGGGGAAAAAAAGTAAATAAAATAAATGAAAGCAAATCTGCTTGGGTTCATCTAAAGGCTGGCTTTGGAGCAGCCAGTGAGTTGCCACTGTCTTCCACACATCATCATTCCTTGAGAATATTCACATTGTTATTGGACTGTGAACAAGTGTTACGATTTGGGGATGAAAACCGTGGGTCTGAACAAAGCAATGGAACAAAGCCATAAAGTCCATATTAAGATATACAAATGCTTTTATTGATAGAGAAAGTTACAACCTATTGAAGCCTAGAAATTTCTTTTCTTAATATGCAAAATAGGATACACAAAAGAACTAAAAATGCCACTGAATCTCCTTCCTACCACACTGCAATGTTCCTTATCATCTATCTCTAAGGTTCACCTTTTTTCACTTTCTTTTCTTTTCCTCACATTTCATCCTCTACTCTCACATAAACACCCATCAAATGCTTTCTCTTCTTTTTTCTTTTTTGTTGTTAATTTTTATTTTATTTCATAATCATAAACTTAACTCTGCAATTGAGCTAGACTTGGAGCTAGACTTAGTAAGGAAAATATGGAACCCAAAGAAATGCCGTAAGAACACAGATTATAGGATATTTTGAGCAGATGGGGGTAACGGGGTGCCCTTCTGAGCCTCAGAAGGAATAGTCTGGTAGTTAAGATAAAATGCAATTCACATTTATTAGATTTGTCCACAGTCAGCAATAGTGACCTTGCTGGTCCTGTCATTCCTAAACCCAAAGTACTCCATACTTCCACAATATTCATGCCTTCTTTTACTTTGCCAAAGACCACATGCTGACCATCCAACCACTCAGGCTTGGCAGTGCAGATGAAAAACTGGGAACTGTTTGTGTTGGGTTCAGCATTTGCCATAGACAAGATGCCAGGACCCATGTGCTTCAGGATGAAATTCTCATCATCAAATTTCTCCCCAAAGGTGGACTTGCCACCAGTGCCATTATGGATGATGAAGTCAAGTCACCTGGCACATAAATCCTGGAATAATCCTGTAAAATCAGGAACACTTATAACCAAATCCTTTCTCCCCAGTGCTCAGAGCCTGATAGTTTTCTACTGTCTTTGAAACATTTGTCTGTAAACAGCTCGAAGGAGATGCGGCCCAAGGGCTTGCTGTCCACGGCAATGTCAAAGAACTCAATTTGGTGGGGTTGACCATGGCTGTCTTAAAGGCCAAATGCTTTCCCTTTTTAATTCTTTATCTTCTTCCCTCCCACCCTGACCATTTTGGAAAAAAAAAAAAAAAAAAAAGACAAGTACATTCAATTATTACAGGCTTTCTATAAGTAATATGTATTTTAAAACTCATAAAATCAAAATAGAAAGATATCAAAAATAACCATAGCTTTTGGTAGTGATCAAAAAGAAAATGAATGAAAACTAGCTTAACAATTATTAGATTGTTATCATCCCTTTAGACTTGACCTTTTGGTAAGTTATAAATAAATACCATCCAAATTTGACAGAAGTAAACTACAAAAATCACACAACAGCAATCTGACAGAAATATCACTTTTATTGATGTCAAAAATATGGCATTTCTTAGATGTTTAATAAAGTAGGGATTATGAAGCAAAATAAATGTTGAATTATGCCACAAGAGTCTCATCCACATGGCAAGATCTATGAGCTCATTTGCTTGGCAACTGCTTTGCCATTTAGAATAATATGCCTACAGCCCAGGGGCACCTGGGTGCCTCAGTCATTTGAGTATCCAACTTTGGGTCAGGTCATGATCTCATGTTCCTGTGTTCAAGCCCACATCAGACTCTGTGCTAACAGCTCAGATCATGCAGCCTGCTTTGGATACTGTGTCTCCCTCTCTCTTTGCCCCTCCCCTGCTTGCGCTCTGTCTCTGTCTCTCAAAAAGTAAAATTAAAAACATTTTTAAAAAATTGCCTACAACCCAGAAAAAATTTTAATGTGGTTAAATTTAACTTGTTCAACATATATTTTATAGTGAAAATATATGAATATGTTCTATACTAATGTTGATGGTATATGTCAATATTTTATGTTGATTATTTATCCTATACCTTTTTCTATTGTCTTTCTCCAGGAAGAAAATAACTTGGATAAAAACACAACCAAAACAGAAAGTGCTTGGCTCTTCAGAATGTGGTACAGCTTTGACCACAAGTATCCTTTGATAATGATGATTTCCCAGATCCTGCTGCCTGGCGGAGATTAACTTCAAGCACTTAGTCATTGAGGTGTATGTTCCTGTTCTTCAAGAAACACAGAAAGGTAAGGTGAATTCATCACCAAATTTATCAAAAAGTAAAAATGTGTAAAGCCCATACTTAAGTGTTACAAAGAGCTAAAGTGAAATCTCTCAGAGTCAAATGAATTTGGTGTATCCATGGCAATCTAATATTTCCCTAAACTCCAGATGATAAAATCATATAGACCTGAGGACTGATCTGTTTAACTAGTTTTACTGTTCGTCCCTTTGAAAAGATCTTACTTCTGGTCGAGTTGGCCAGGGTAACAACAATCCTTCACCCTTTTCCCAGAAACCCATTTGTGTGCTCTTGTTTCATGTGGTAAAAACGTGGGGTGGGGCTGGAGACAAAGGGAATGAGTAGCCTGAGAGAAAGAATAAGTCTGATCACCATATTATAAAATAACATTACTTTGTTTTCTAGGCAGATTTGAGTTAGCTTTTCCTCATGAAGGCCAATTTTAAAATTCTACCAATCAGTGTAAACATAGTGGCCTCAATACACCTTGCTTTGTGACTGACAGGGCTGAGAAGTCAGGCCTGAAGGGCTTTGCCATTGTGAATTGCAGTAAGTGGTCCATCTCTAATCCCAAGCAAAAGCGCCACATAAGAAAGGGAAGAACAGCACTGAAATTGAATGTGTTGGGTCTTTGTAGTTAGTTTTCCACAGTCACAAATCCTTCTCCTTTCAGGGAGAAAATGTCAGTCACTGGGTGATTTAAAGGGCCTAAGTAATGATTAAAACCACAACAGATCAGTGGGGGAGGAAGTAGAATTAAGAACAATGAAAAGAAATTCAAAGAGTAAGGTGAAGAAGAGGTAAAATGAAAAGGGGAGAGGAGGCAAGAGCAATACAGGAAATCCACATTAGGGAGGAAAGGGAGGCAAATTGAAGGAATAGCTATGTAAGAAAAAAAATTATATAAGAATGAAGAGAAGCCCTGTGAAGATTGCAGATATAAGCAAAAGTAGAACAGGTGAGATTTAAAAAAGCAATTCTGCAAAAGTAGAACATTCCAAGAATTACAAAATGGACATGTGGAAGGTAGAGGTTTTTTGAGCCTACAGTTTTGTTTTCCCACAGCCCTTCTGTCTCCAGACAGATACCTTTCCTTGCTCAGTCTTAAGCCTTTATGGACAGTAGGTTTCCACCACTTTAAAAGCACTCCATCGTGGCCATTAACTACCTCTTGGAGGTTCTGTGTCGGAGGCCAGCTCCCTGAAGGATGAATGGTGTCGCAAGGGAGGGATGAGAGAGTCCCGAGATTCTTTCTGATCACCAGGTAGGCATCTCCGCTCTGACTGGGGCTCAACTTTATTTTATAATTAAGTGTTTGGGGGATGGCACAGAAGTGGCATTTGCCTAAGACAATGATTTCTGATAACAAACTTCTTTGATATGTAAGAATTTCCCAGAACATAGATTTGTAGAAGACTCCTGCATAACCTCTATCAATAGTGATTGAGGTAGGTGATTTATTTATTTATTTTTTTTACAAATAGTTTATTGTCAAATTAGTTTCCACATAACACTCAGTGCTCATCCCCACAAGTGTCCTCCTCTATGCCCATCCCCCCCCCACATCCATCAGTCCTCAGTTTTTGTCAGCATTCAAGAGTCTCTCATGGTTTGCCTCTCTCCCTTTCCCCCACCATTTCCGCCCTTCTTCTCCCCTTTGTTCCTCCGTCAAGTTCCTCCTAATCTTCCTATACAATCCTCCTATACATGCAAACATATGATATTTGTCCTCTGCCTGACTTATTTCGCTTAGCATAACACCCTCAAGGTCCATCCATGTTGCTACACAGGGCCAGATTTCATTCTTGAGGTAGGTGATTTAGATGCTTATCCTATGGGGAAGAAAGGTATCTTAGCATACCAGACAATGTTTTTAGCATAAAAAGGGTGAAGTTAGTTCTTTGTGGGCAGGGGTCAATAGCTTATTTGTTTAAGGCAGAAGTATCAAGAAAAACAGGTCTTTCAGGAAACACAATGTTTGCTCCCATAATCAAAAAAGAAGTTCCTCAATAGGTTCCTTCACAGGGACCATATTCAAAGCCAGAATAAGTCACTCACAAATGCCTTGTGGAGCTGAGGGGGGGGGGGGGGGGAGGGGGGGGGGAGGCAGGACTCCAAGCAGAAACAATTGGGTATGGGTGGATATCTGTCCTTAACTCTAAATTAGGCTCTTTGTCTCAGGGCCAGACTCAATTGTAACTCTTGTGTTCTTAGCCCCCTTTTATTATGTTAAGTCTTGGATCTGCAAGGCCCATAGGAAGAGCCTTTTGACAATCATCCACAATGCTTTCATCTGAAGTCTCTTTTGAAAAGGCAGGAATATGCTTTTTCTTATGAGCAATCTGTGGGGGGAATACCGGTCTGATCTGGAATATTGTGAGGCCTGGTCAATACCCGCAGCCTCATTTCCAACATGAGTCAGTAGTAGCAGAAGGAGATACCAGTTTCGTTTCTCATGGCAGGAGCTATGCAAACGCTGCCATTTCTTCGCTGTGACTGTCATCCAGTGAGGCCCCTGCGGCTCCCAGCAGTTCTGGTATCTCATTAACTACGTAAAGCCTTCCTGGCCTCTCTAAGGCAAGCTGGTTCTTAGCAAATTATTCCAGTTTATTTTCTAGGTTGATTTCTCATCTGGAAACACAATTTTCCCCTGCCATTGCTTAAAGTATCTGAGAACCAAATTTTAGGAAGTTATAAAAATTTGACTAAAGAATACACAAAAGGCTGCTTGATTATGAAATATATAAAGTAAGAAAATGTCTTTTTGGTTTCCTGGACCCAATTTTCAATCTGGAAAATAGTTACTCATGCCTCTGACCCACTGGCTACAACTTGGAGGTTCTTGTAACCTCCTCCTTGGGTTCAATTAATTTGCTGGAGTGGCTCATGGAACTTAGAGAAACATTTTACTAGCTTAGTAAGTATCACTGGTTTATTATAAAAGGATAAGAGATGCAGAGGGCAAAGTGTGTGGGAACGGTCACCTAGCTTTCACGACCTCTCAAAGTGTACCACTCTCCCCAAATCCCCCACATGTTTACCAACCCGGAAGCTCTCTGCACCCTGTCCTTTTGGGGTTTTATGGAGACTTCATTATATAGGCATGACTGGCCAAATCATTGACTGTTGGTGATTGAACTCCATCTCTAGCCCCTCTCTCCTTCAAGAGGTGAAGGAGGGGGAAACTGAAGTATCCAGCCCTCCAGATTGGCTCTCCAGGCAAGCAGCCCCCATCCTTAGGTGGGGTCCGAATGCCACCTCATTAACATAATGAAGGATACCATTATTGCTGTAATCACTTAGGAAATTTAAGACCAATGACCAAATATATATGTCTTATTATAAATCATAATAACATAAAATGGCAATTCGGAAATGAGATATAAGATGTTTTTGTTCAAATTCTAACATTGCTGTGAGGAATGCTTTATAATGAAGAAAAGGAATAAAGTGGAAAAAATAATTTGGAGACCAGAAATGAAAGTGGAAACTCACCCAAAATTTTAGTTTAGAGCAGTGACACTAAATTCAGATGATGTCACAGTTTTTATCTCATGTTTCACCAGAGGTTTATTTCCATATGATTATGGACAGATTTGCAAAAAATGAAAGCAGATTTACCCTGTCAGTAGCATCTCTTCTCATGGTAATTTGTCCTCCTGTGCATTCATTCTAGAAATTGCAGTGCTACCATCACTGCACAAATATATTTTCACTTAGACAACAAAGTTTTTATATCCTAGTTAGGCTCTGAATTCACACCTAGAGAGTAACAAACCAACCAGTTTCTACTCTGTGACCTTTAGATACATCTGTATTTCCGGAAGCAAATCATCCACTTAGTATTTACGTTTTTCCTGCTCTTCACTTAGAACACAGGTGATGTGCCCTTCAAATCTCATAGGTAGGCTATGCCTGCCACTATCAGTGTAGGATGATCCCCCATCCCAGGGTGAGGTTGCCTGGCCTAAGCCAAAAAGAAATTGTTGCCAGGCTGAAAGAAACTGACAATGCAGTTTGGAGTTGCTCAAGTTTCATTTTAGTAACATTGCATCATGCAAATGAGGCATCATAAGGAATTACTGATAAAAGGAAAAGAAGAATAAATAAGCCTTCATGTGCACTGTATCAGTCAGGATTCTCCATACAGACAGAAACAGAACCAGAAGGAGTATACACATGTGTGTGTGTGAGTGCACACACACACGCACACACATGCATAGATATATATGTACATACACATACATATATACATTTATATATGTATACACACGTATGTATACATATACATATACATGTACTTATACACAGATTTAGTTCAAGGAATTGGCTTATGCGAATGTGTGTGTGGGGGGAGGGGGGGTGGTGCAAGTCCAAACTTTGTAGGCCAGGCTCTAAGTCTGGAAACTCAGGCAGGAACTAATGGTGCAGTCTTGAGGCAGAATTCATTCTTCCTTAAGGAAGCCTCAGTTTTGCTATGAAAGTCATCCAACTGTCTACATGAGGCTCACTCACATTACTGAGGATTATCTCCTTAAAGTCAACTGATCAGTGACTGAGATGTTGGCCCACATCTACTGAATAATTGGGTCAACAAGCCAATTATTGGGTAATAACAAAACCAAGCATCAAAGTACACAATTCGCATTCAATTTATACCCAAAATTCAGACCCTAGAAAGTCTCTCTTAATGTACTGTTGGCATCAGTAAAACAAGCCATGGTTTCTCAGATAGTTTGCTTTCTTTTTTACTTTTTCATAGCATAATTAATACACATATACATTTCCATAACACTTCCCCCAAAAAACTACGGAGGAATTAAAAAAATAAAAATTAACAATTGATAAGGATGAATAATGGCCAAGGGCTGTGTGAGTGCCTTACATTTATAATTTCATTCCACCTCCACAGTTCTGTAAGAGGTTGTAAGAGTCTAGAGAGTATGATCCAAAACAAATGGATTGCTGATTGTGTTGTCCTTCACTGAAACAACCTGGGTTCTTTTGTTCAAGAGCATTATTGGAAGCCTATGGTGCCAAAATAGTTGGGTAATTAAGATTTCATTGTGATTCAAGGCTGGCAGCAATTCTGAGGAGAATTTGAGAAGGGGTAGATGAAAAAAGAAATGATATTACTG